AATACATTGTTGCGCACGTTGTTGCGCTGTGCTCTTTACCAGCGTTATTTTGTATTTTCATTTAGAGAGGAATGACCGCTGATACAAAACGATGTAATTTTGTCTCTTTCAAAAAAACATATTTGGGGATTGCGAACAATGAGTTCCCTTCACTCTGAATATATGGCTGACAGATTTTGCAAGAAGTTCTTTCAAGCTAGTAAATATTAAGATGCGCCTTTCCGTACGCTATGCTTTTTGGCAAAATAACAAAATATTAAAATATGTCGCTTTGTATACAACACAACGATGTTATTTGGTATTCTAATTGCACATTTGTTTGTTGTTGGAACTTGGATTCTCGTATTTTGCAAATATTTATGAATAACATTCGAGAAAAATCTTCATTGAAGCGTTGCAGCGTTGGCGTAGTGTGATTTTAGATCTGACTTTAAAGCTAGCACAGAGAAAACATAAAAAGGCAACATAAAAACTGCTCGTATTCCTTTTCTGGCAGAAAGGGATTGTTTTCTTACATTCTCAGTAATAATTTGGAATAAAGCAATGATCGCGTATAGAAAAAGCTAAAAGCAAACAAGCTGCTCAGGGAGGTGCCGACTGAAAGGAACAGGCGTAGCGCGCGGATGCTCAAATAATAAAATAAAATCCGAAAGCGATGTGATGTGCGATGTGATTTATTTGAAAACATGATGAAATTGGGTCTTGAATTCTAGAGAAAGGAACCAATCAACAATCGAAAAATTGTTGGTTGGCTTCCTTCTGTAGAATATAATCCGATTGAGGCACAGCTTCGAAAAATCAATCAATACGCTCATTGTATTCGCGTATATCTTCTTTTTGAACAGAAATTCTATCTTAATGTTCCTTTGTATACAATAACAGATAACGTTAGCACGAATTTCACGTCGGCTTTACCTTCCGAGTGATAAATGATGCCATAAATTAACGAAAAACTCTAATCGATAATTTGCTAAAGTTTTATCTGCTTTTACCGCAAATGCCCCAATTCTTAATGAATGTGCATATATCATGCCGCGTAGTATACCGTGTGGCTGGGAGAATCGGACGTGAAAAATGATGGCTTTCGGACATTTTTGGTAGGAAAAAAATATCTTCTCTCATCTTATATATGTCGCTATTTATATATATATATATATACATACACATATATATTAAGCTCGAATCTAGGAAGCCTAATCGAAAATGCGCCACCGAGTTCGGCGGATATCGCGGAGGAATGGCAGCTACGTGCTTCCACTTTATCGCGATCCTCCGCTGATTCCCTGCTGATTGCCGATGGCTGCGATAGAAAGATTACGTATATAGCAAAAGGGAGAAATGCTCGCCGATAAAGGCGATAGTCGATGCGATCGAGAAAACGGATTTCCGCGACGCCTGCACGATAGACAGTTCGTTAGTCACCGAGCTAAGAGCACCGATAATTACTCCGCCATCCGTGTATCACGAGGTCACTCGGATGACGCGGTATCGAGGTCAACTGAGCGTTTTCCAGTACAGAGGACCTACGGATCCGAAGGACGGAATACAACGCTCTAATATAGACGAGACATGTCGAGTAATGGCGCGGCAGGAGGCTTATAGTCAGACAACATCCTCAGCAACCCTGTTCGGCGATACTAGTGATGTTATCTGGTTGACAACGCGCCACTATAACTAGATATAATCTGAGTTTAACGGAACGTGAAGCAGCGTGTGGTGTGTTTTGCGATTTGATATGCCTAGAGTAACGCATAATGCAAATAGTCCTCGGGAAAATATCGCAAAATGTATTTTTTCATTGTGAGCTCTAGTATGAAATTCAAAAATTTATGCGAGAAATTCTTTTTTTTTTTGTTTTAAATTTATTCTTTTAATTTTTTTATTCAGAGATACGTGTTATTTGAAATTTTCAAGGACGGTCATTTTTAAATATAAATTAGAAAAATTAGTAGATCTGGAGGAAAATATATATGAATTAAAATGACAAAAAATCTTCGAAAAATG